TGGCTTGTTTCAATGAACAATGCTTAATATTAACCTCAATTAACTGGTATGAATTAAAACAGAAGTGAAAGCTTCTGTTCTCCAACTCAGCCATGTCAGAGAAAGAAAGGAGAGAGGAAGTTCACAATCCCAAGTCTCGTTCATATACTGTAATGCTAAACCAGGCATGGCCAAACTTGGCCCTCCAGCTGTTTGGGGACTACAACTCCCATCATCCCTAGCTAACAGGACCAGTAGTCAGGAATGATGGGAATTGTAGTCCAAGAACAGCTGGAGACCCAAGTTTGGGAAATGTTGGTCTACAGGATGCCACGTTAGGTACCCTTTGGTTTAGCACAACATTTGAATGAGGTAAATGAGACCATTGCAGAAGAAATATTCACACCTGGACCTCTTTTCTAAAGATGAAATTCTCTGCCCTGATGGTGATTTATATATATATATATATAAAGATGATTACACCAGAGGCTACAGGTACCTTGTGGTAAAAGTCCCACACAACTTACCGGTAAATTGTAAGAACTATTCCTGATACAGTGCCTAGGTGCCACTTTTATTTGTAATAAGGGTAATATAACAAACAGCCCATAAAACTTTATTCCTGACAAAAAGGAGCTTCTTGTCTGGTTTATGACGCTTTTATAGAGAGGACAGTATAAAAGTGAGATAGGACAGTATTGAAAATTACAGCTTTGTGTGATATCATCACTCAAATGGATAGCTGGTTGGATGTTCTGAGAGCAGCTTCCAGGTATCTCTTATTTCCTTATTCCCCATGAGCAAACAGTCAATTATCATGGCAAGAGAAAAGCTACGGGAAAGTTGAGAGACTCCCGAAAATACTCATAAAAAGATGAATAAATGCATATAAGAAATAGCAACAAACGTGAAAGGTTGATATGCAATTTCCTAATAAAAGTGTTAAAACCTGTATCTACAAAATTATTTTTGTATATTTTTTATTTTGTATATTCATGTTTGCAAATCAGTCTCAAGAATGGATTCACTGTGTGTCATGAATAACAAATCCAGCTCTTGCTCTGTTGCTCAGATGCTGGTCTAGCATCTATTTCTGGATTTGCCTTATCCTAACATGAATACTGAAGCCAAGTTTAATTTTTCCTGACATTAGCACAGCAATTTAGTGCTCAAATTTTGAAAAATACTAATCCCAAAACTTTCCATGGCAAATGCTAGGGCTGATCATACCCTCTATCTTGCAGATATTAATACACACAGCCATAAGAAGTCTGGCACCAACTGGTATCTGAAAACCACTTACTATGTTAATTTTTTGCCAACATGAAATGACTACGGTGTTCTTGTCTGTATACACGTAGTTAATGAATACTCAAGACTGGATCCCTAACGTACCCATGAACTGTAAAGCTCCAATAGGCTCTTCACAGATTTTGGGGGAACAAGGCATTTGTATTATTTATACATACACAAAATTATACATGCATGGAAGACAAGGAGTGACTCATGGGTGTCTATGTGCAATACAACTATTACTGGACTTTGCCACTTCAAATAACAGATGGGGGCAGAATATGTTTTAATGTTTTCCTTAAAAAAACAAAACCCCAAAATATCCTGTAACTAGAAAACTAGCATGTCAGGAGAAATGTTCTAGCTGCTTCCCTGATATGCTAGCTTTGTATGTGCAGTGATACTTCTTTTTTTGCAATATACAGAAGCTTTCTAATCTGCAATCCCATAAATCACCTTCCACCTTTGCCTGCTCAATGCAATAAACTTCTATGGGGCATTTCCAGCTTCAGTAACTATCACCAGGGCCCCAAACTTGGAAGATCTACACCAGGGGTAGTCAACCTTTTTATACCTACCTCCCACTACTGCATCTTTCTTGATGGTAAAATTTCCTTACTGCCCACCAGTGCTTGATGGAAGGAGGATTCTGCTTGTGCCGTAGAACCCCTTACCGCCCACCTAGAATCCTGAAACACCCAATAGTGGGCAGTAGGGACCAGGTTGACAACCCCTGATCTACACTGTAGCTCTGGATTTGGGTATGGATGTCACAACCACAGCCTAATCCTGTTAATACTTCTTTTCCCTTAGAAGATTCTTACATAGTACTTTTCTACCTGAGGAAGAAAGGCCGGGTAGAATAGAGAAGGGGGGGAATCATCTTACTTTGGAGTGAAAAACCTTTCTGACCACTGCAAAACAGAGAATCATAAGCACAGTCTGGAATCTAGCCTCCTCCTCGCAGAAAGCCTCACGGGTTTTAAATCCTACCATGAAGTTTTTCATGCACATTCCTCCATAGGTGCTCTTCAACAGAGCTAAAATGCCACAGGGACAGTATATGCACCTGGATCATTCAGAATTAAGCGTGAGAAGACTGGGATGGCAGGAAGCGTGAGAAGACTGGGATGGTGCCAAGCACAGCGGAGAAGACATAGTAATTAAGAGCTTTTATAGTTTCATTGCTTAGACTACTTTAGTTCATTTTAATGGTCTCCTGCACTCCAAACAACTACAAATCATTATTCATATTTCCCAAGGAACATTGGGTGGCACCCTATTTTGCACAAGGGGGCTTCCCCCTCTTCCCTTCCCCCTGCTGCCACAGTGCCCCCCTCCCTCAAAATATGCTCCAGAGGGTCCCCAAACTATTCAGGATAATTTATGGGGGCTGCATGGGAGAAGTAAAGGATAGAGACTCCATTCTGCTGGAGAGCAGACACCGCTGGATTGAGGACCACATAGTATAGGGAAGGAAATTTAAACATCCATGCAGCCACACTTGTCTGGATATCTCTTTTATTTCCAGTTATCTATCTTGCTGCTACATCCAAAGCATTTAGAATAAGCATATTGATAATTCATTTTCTCTTAGGCCTACCCAGCTCACTTCTATGCATGGTAAAATTGCGAGTGGGCTTTTATCTCACACGCTTCCTTCTGCCCTGCTCCCCAAAGGTGGAAATTATGCTTTATTGTCGATATTGAACCTGTAGTAGAAAGAAATTTCAGAGTCCAAGGTACAGTTACTCTTGCCTCCAGATAAATGAAGGCTCTCCTGGTTTGAGATTCACTTCTGAGAGGAGGAGGAGAGAAGTGTTCAGACCTGAAGCCCACTCCTGATCTCACCACACAGCGAGTTGAGGCAGGCAAAACAGCCCCATAGTCTTCAGCAGGATTTCTGTGGCCCAGTCTCAAGAGAAGTGGTTCATCGCTTTAACAGCCCTGTGGCTACAGGTGAGAAGTTGATCCCAACCCACTTTCCCCTTGATCCTGCATCTGACCCACTCCTCCAAAAACCCTCTGCTGCAAGAAACACTACTCTCATGGTGCCCCACAGCAGGTGAGAGGGATGGGTGGCCTACGAGACCAGGTACAGAACTGTAGCCTCTTCCATAGAGACAGGATGTTTGGCTCGGAACCTACAATGCAATTCTATACATGTCAACTCAAAGTAAGTCCTATTGTGTTCAATGGAGCCTACTATCCAAGTTGGTGGGTAAAGGATTGCAACTGGCCACCAAAATTTCTGAAATTTATGAGAAATTCTCATGCTCTGATTTTAGACTATTCAAATACATTGCAAATACATTTTTTTTTGTTCTGTATGCTTCTAAATAATTGGAAGGTACATTTCAGGCAGCAGTCATAAATAAACCCAAGTACTTAACTCCAAAGTGTACATTCTTTGTGTCTAATTATATAGGTAAAAGGAAAACTGACTGCAAGCACCATTAGGGAGTCAGAGTCGTCCCCTGTCCCACCCCACCCCAATTATCTTGATCCTTTTAGGAAGTCCCTAAAATAGATGGCGCCCCACCAGCAGCCCTTCCTCTGGTTAGGTCGCCAATAGTTCTTAAGGAAAGTGGAAGACTGGAATTGCAATAAATAGAATAGGTAAAGGTAAAGGTACCCCTGCCCATACGGGCCAGTCTTGACAGACTCTAGGGTTGTGCGCCCATCTCACTTAAGAGGCCGGGGGCCAGCGCTGTCCGGAGACACTTCCGGGTCACGTGGCCAGCGTGACATCGCTGCTCTGGTGAGCCAGAGCCGCACACGGAACGCCGTTTACCTTCCCACTAGTAAGCGGTCCCTATTTATCTACTTGCACCCGGAGGTGCTTTCGAACTGCTAGGTTGGCAGGCGCTGGGACTGAGCGACGGGAGCGCACCCCGCCGCGGGGATTCGAACCGCCGACCTTTCGATCGGCAAGCCCTAGGCGCTGAGGCTTTAACCCACAGCGCCACCCGCGTCCCTAATAAATAGAATAGTCAAGGCTAATTGCACCAATTAAGGAATGCATTACTTGAAGCACAAAATAGCAGGTACCTTTTTAATGCAAGGCATTGTTTTTCACACCCCAGAGGCCTACACTACTGGATTTAAGCTTATCCTATTAATTTGAAAAACTTTGCTGGAAAAGCACACCAGTGTCTTTTTCAGATGCTGAAAACGTTTCAGCTCTCTCTGTCTGGCACTGACAATTGCAAACCATTCTGGTAGCTTAACTATTTTATCTGAACGCAGGAAAGGAGGAGATAAGCCTTACCAGGATGAGATACAAGGGAAACAGAAATAAGAGCTTGGTGTGATTGTTATTATATTTTCTGGGTAAGTCATCCGGTTTGCAAACACTCAGCTCCACCCTTGTCGATGTGGACTTTTAGTTTGCAGAGTATGGGCAACGTTATGCAAAACAGAGTCTCTTTATCACCAGTTCAGATACACTTTTGCAGACAGAAACATTTGTGGGGAGAGGAAGAGAGAAGATCGGCTGCTAAAATATTTTCTCTGAATCAGAGAAGGCGCAAATGCAGCACACAATTTTTTGGGGGGGAGGGGTAGCACTGTATTAATGCTATCTTCATAGACACCCCCTCCCATTTTTAACCAAATACAATCTCCCTCTCGCTCGTATCTGCCCAGGTCAGATCACACCATTACATGCAGGTTTGCTTCCTTATCCAAGCAAATCTCGAGAGGTATTTTGAGTTGTTAGCACTTACTCTGGAGATGGTCAGAGGCATATTGAAGTCCTTGCCCCCTTGCAGTCGGAACCCCCATGGTCCGGGTCCGTTGAGAGTCACGCTGTAAGACATATTATCTCTCTTTTACGCCAGGAACCCCAGCAGCTCTGTGAAAGAGGGAGGGGGGGGACACAGGTGGGTATTTTGGTTTTTAAAAAAGGAGATATTCTTTTCTCTCGCTCTCTCTCTTTCAATTTAAAGCAGAAAAATAAAGATCTTTTTTGTCTCTTGCCTGGTCAGTCCTGCCGAAGTGTCACCTAAGAATAGATAGGAGTTATAATGCGGATACTGATATCCCTGATGAGGGAGCCCATAAAAGGCTTGTAACCAAACACCGGCTATGCAAAACCTCTGTGACTCAGAGGTCTAATATAGTCCCCCCCTGGGAGGTTAGCAGACCTTTCTAGGCTCCTCAGGTCCCCTCGTCAGACTCAAAGCCACTTTTCTAAGATAATGAAGAGGAGATGTCGTTTTTTAAGCGTGTCAGCCGCTTAAAAAACAATGGCATTAAAAGGAACCTCTGGCCGATATACTCACTTGTCAATAGCATCGTTCTCAAGGCTTCCCTAGTGTACAGTCCCTGACCTATGTCAAATGTGTTTCTGTGACTCTGTGTGTGAAAGAGAGAGCATTAAATGCACCATTGTGTGGTTCTGTTTTCATACGACTAGGGTTTCTGGAAAGTGAGGAGAAGAAATAAAGGGGAAGGAAGAGGGACTGCACCCCTGTTTTAAAACATGTGGCGTTTGAAATGTTAAGGCTGCACAACCTTAGGAGCTTGGGAAGCCAGGCCTCAGGATATTTTGCTGCCTGAGGTGAGCAGCCAATGGTGTCCCCTGCCCCAAACCAAGGGGTATATAGCCCCTAAGTTTGTCAACTGAGGCAGAAAAATACACCAAGCCCCTATCCCTGGTAAAATAAACAAACAAACAACCCACCATCAGCAACAAATTGAATAACTATTTCCTTCCCTTTTGTGACAGCCTCAGCCAGCTGCCTGAGGCAACTTCCTCCCTCTGAGGCTTGACCCTCCTTGAAGGCCTCATTCTCTTCAATGTTCCTGCAGAGGCTTCTTAGATACAGTGGTACCTCAGGTTAAGTACTTAATTCGTTCCGGAGGTCCGTACTTAACCTGAAACTGTTCTTAACCTGAAGCACCACTTTAGCTAATGGGGCCTCCTGCTGCCGCCGCGCCACCAGAGCACGATTTCTGTTCTCATCCTGAAGCAAAGTTCTTAACCTGAAGCAATATTTCTGGGTTAGTGGAGTCTGTAACCTGAAGCATATGTAACCTGAAGCGTATGTAACCTGAGGTACCACTGTACTGGAGAAAATGGAGCCGGCCTCCATCATGTTGCACACTGTGTGTGCATCGGGGGCCTCTCGTGTTTAGCACCCCGTCCATAGGCTCCATATTTATTGTGTTTATATCCAATGTTTTCTCTAAGGAGCTCCAGGTGGCATACTTGGTTCACCCCTTCTCATTTAATCCCCACAGCAACCCTGTAGGCTGAGCATCAATGGCCGGCCCAAGGTCACTCAGTGAGCATCATGGCTGAGTGGAGATTTGAACCCTGGTCTCCAAGGCCCAAGTCCAACACTCTAACCACTACACCACACAGGCTTTCATCTGCACCATATATTTAAAGCACATGGCTTTCCCCCAAAGAATCCTGGGAGCCATCGTTTACCTCTCACAGGGCTAAAACTCCCAGCACCCTTAAAGTTTCTTTAAATGTGCTTTAAATTTATAGTGTAGTTGTGACCTTTTTTTAATACAGAAGGTTTTCTTTCTCCTGTAACACACCAGAATGAATGCATCTTGGGACAGAAGAGTCCTAAAAAACCTGCCCAATACCAAACCAAATGCAACCCAGCAGCCATGTTCCAGAGGTGCAGGGGCTGGTGTTGCGCATGATGGCACACATAAAAGATCCCAATGTCACATCAGGACCTCAGAGGAGCCAGGAATGTGTCTCCAATGGCCTGAAGCTCCTGCTGCTGCTGCCACTACCTGCTGGGGGCTGCTTCCTCCCTCCTTTCCCCCCCCCCCGATGGCAGGAGGAGGAGTTGGCTATTGAAGCTGCTCCATGCTCGGCCCTGATTTTTTGGAACATTGGGGGGCCAAAAGGATGGGCCCCCAGGAGTTGGCGCCCCTGCCATGTACAATGGCCTACCAAGGCTTTGATAAACCTCCTGGTTTTACTACAACAACGAGGGTTGTCTAGCAAGCATCTGTCAGGCAGGAATGTCCAACAGCTCTCTGTGTGTGCACCCCAAATAACAAGATAAATTGGGGTGGTGTGCAGCAGATTTCCATGTCCCCAAGTTTAATCACACCATGTTGAGGTAGATCAGGGAGTCCCCAACCTTCTGAGTAGCTCCTTTGCTGGTCCCCCCCCCCAAATACACTACCTTCCCCTGTCTTTTTTCCTTTTTGAGTGGGGAAACACCCAAATCTTGGAGGAGAGGCGGTGGAGAGGGAAGGGGTGGAAAGTGGGGGGAGACTTTTTTCATTCTGATGGGCAAGTCTAGATTTTAATCACAGTGAATTATTTCCCCAAGGCACTCGATCACAGTGATGTGGGAGGAGGATGTTGAAGCAAATAAAGTGTTGTTTTCAAATGGGTTGTCATTGGCCTTCGATTTTTGGCTGTGAGAGCAGAGCTTAGGTGGTGGCATTAGACTTCTTTCCCAATCATTCTTTTCCCTAACAATTTTTTTTTAAATCAGCAATCTTTTTCTTCTAGTTAGAACTTTATAGCCTCACCATCTAAATCAGCCAACTCACCTCTGGCTGCCTAAATTCAGCTAAGATGGCCAAGGATCAGGTCATGACCTCACATCTCCTAAAAGCTCTATTCACGTCATTTGGCTGCATACAAAAATAATTAACCTTATCTGCCTACTTTCTCCTTTCTCCTTTTTTTCTACTTGCTAAGGAACCTGGGTGTTTCACCTAAGGATGGATGCAGACTTGAGTAACAGCCGTTCTTTTGTATTTTTCGTGTTTCACCTTCCCAGCAAGTCTTGGTGCAATCGGATACCTCATTTGCATGTCTGCTGCCTCCTCCATCTTAAGACTCTTCCATTAAAATAATAATAATAATAATAATAATAATAATCCAGCCTTAGGAAGAGTTCTGTAGAACTTAGAAAGCTTACACACAACTTGGTGAAATTTGGGTTGGGCTAATAGAGGTACTGCCTAAAATAGATTTTGGTATTTTTCTTATGGGACAAACAACGCAGCTATCATCCCTCCTAAAATAATAATAATAAAAAAAATCTGCAGAGTGTTTTTGCAAACCTGTCACACAAGACTACCAAACAGTTCTCTGTACATAACTCCCTACAGCCTTGATGTAACAGGGCCTCATTACACAGAACAATTCCCAATAGACCACTCTGAGCAGCTGCAAAAAAAGTTAAGACTTCTTTCCTGTCATCCCCTGCTCTTTAGATCCTTGTCTATGCTGGCTTATTAGAGCTAGATGGAGTGGGTTGGCTGATTACTGGTAAAAAACAAAAAACTTGGCATCATAGGGTGTTACCCTTTGCCCTTAAAGAGGCAGTTGTGTATCCACTTCTTTAGAAGCCTACTCTAGACCCAATGGTGCATAATAGGTAAAAGGTAAAGTACCCCTGGACAGTTAAATCCAGTCAAAGGCAACTATGGGGTTGCGGCGCTCATCTCGCTTTCTGGCTGAGGGAGCTGGCGTTTGTCCGGGTCATGTACCCAGCATGACTAAACTGCTTCTGGCACAACTGAACACTGTGATGGAAACCAAAGCACACGGAAACACCATTTACCTTCCCGCCTCAGTGGTACCTATTTATCTACTTGCACTGGCGTGCTTTTGAACTGCTAGGTTGGCAGGAGCTGGGACAGGGCAACGGGACCTCACTCCGTTGCGGGGATTTGAACCACCGCCCTTCCGATCGGCAAGCCCAAGAGGCTCAGTGGTGCATAATAACTATAAATCAATTGCCAATTGCCAACACTCCTTTCTTGACAAAGCTGGTGGAGAGAGGATGGTTGTGGAGCAACCGTAGGTATTTCTGGATGAGACTGTTTAATTGGATCCACTACAATCTGGGTTTATAGCTGGTTTTGGAACTGAATCCGCCTTGCTCACCCTGAGAGTTGATCTTTATTGTGAGAGAGATGACCTAGTTACTTATCCTTGATCTCTCAGCAACTTTCAATACCATTGATCCCATGATAGGCATCCTCCAGGTCAACTCTGTGGGATGGGTATCGGAAGCACTGTCTTATGGTCATTCCATTCATATCTTCAAGCCGTGCGCAGAGAGTATCACTGGGAGTGTACTCATTGCAAGTTTTAGATCAAGGTTTCATCAGTATACTGATGATGCACATCTCTACTAACATACAAACCAGGAGAGGTTGTGAAAGCTCTGGATCAGTGGCTGAATGCAGTGGTGGATGGTGTCCCAGCTACATTAGTAAAAAAGCAATGATTCGACTGCACTATAAACATGCAACACCAGATGGCGGCAGAGAGCAGGAAATTTTAAAACAAGGTTTTCCATAGGGGTTTTCTCCCTTTTGTTATAACGATACAATTTCTGGCTTATTTATAGTAGTTTTCCCCCTGTGTGTAGACCACCCTGTGTTTGAATCCTGGGAAGATAGAGGTTCTATGGGTGGGTAGTTCTCATGTCCGAGATAGATGCAGGTTACTTGTTCAGCATGGGGCCGCACTCTCTCTGAAGGAGCAAGTGTGTCGCTATAGACCCAAGTCCTCTGTTACTGCCAGCTCTGTCTGGCTCACCAACTATGGCTGTTCCTAGGGACTTCCGGGTTGACGCGATCTGGAAATGGCGGATTCCCTCCGAGCTCCGGAGGGAACCGGCTCCACTGAGGATGGGTCTTTGCCGCGCCGGCGACGCGGGGACCCTTAAAAACCGCAGGCGCGGAAGCCTGCGGACTGAAGACTCGGCGGGTGCCTTAAGCGCCCCCCCTGATTCGCAAAGAGCCTTTTTAAAGGCTGCGGAGGGGATACGGGGGTGGCGTGGCACTGAGAGTCGATCGCTACCTCGGTGGAGTGAAGCCGCGAGCCAGGACCAGAGAGCGCTGACT